AAATAAAACCACAAACTCCATACCGAAGAATATAAACTGCGTAGGAGGTGTACTTGAACACCGAGGGTTTAGGGTTTAGGGTTTAGGGTTTAGGGTTTAGGGTTTACTCTTGCAGCGATTTCAATAGGTTGTTCAATAGCGAGGGTTTCTGCTGCTTGTGCTGCTTCTTTGAGGGTTTGGTGACGGCTGCGGAGGTTTATTTCATACTCTCTTTGTAAACCCTGAATATCATCCAGGTGTCTCTGCAACCACAAAACCCTAAACCCTAAACCCTAAACCCTAAACCCTAAACCCTAAACGCCAACAAACACCAAACCCTAAACATGAATTTGTTGTACGTATCTTCTATGTTCTTCTCCTTCTATCTTAAACCCTATTCCACCCCCAAACCCTAAACCCTAAACCCGAAACCCTAAACCCCAACAAACCCTAAACCCTAACAAACCGTAAACCCTAAACCCTCGACAATACCTGAACTTGCAGGAGATACTGTCTGTGTTTTTTTCTGTGTAGTATTCTACCCTAAACCCTATTCCACCCCAAACCCTAAACCCTAAACCCCCAAAACCCTAAACCCAAAACCCTAAACCCTAACAAACCCTAAACCCTAACAAACCCTAAACCCTAAACCCTCAAAATACCTGAACTTGCAGTAGATACTGTCTATGTTTGTTTCTGTGTAGTATTCTCCCCTAAACCCTATTCCACCCCAACCCCTAAACCCTAAACCCTAACCCCCCAAAACCCTAAACCCTAAACCCTAACAAACCCTAAACCCTAAACCCTCAAAATACCTGAACTTGCAGCAGATACTGTCTATGTTTTTTTCTGTGTAGTATTATACCCTAAACCCCAACAACTCCCCAAAACCCTAAACCCTAACCCCCCAAAACCCTAAACCCTAAACCCTAAACCCTAAACCCTCAAAATACCTGAACTTGCAGCAGATACTGTCTATGTTTTTTTCTGTGTAGTATTCTCCCCTAAACCCTATTCCACCCTAGACCCTAAACCCCAGCAAACCCCAACAACCCCCCAAAACCCTAAACCCTAACAAACCCTAAACCCTAAACCCTAAACCCTCAAAATACCTGAACTTGCAGCAGATACTGTCTATGTTTTTTTCTGTGTAGTATTCCTTCGGCAATAGAACGCATGCATTGTATTTGTTTGTGTGTGGTGGATAAAGCCCCGTGATCGATAGCAACACAAACCCTTTCTAGGGTTTGAGCAGCAGAAAAATTAGGGTTTTGTAAACCCGCGAAATGCTCCGCAAGGGACCCCAGCTCAACCCTCAACCTCTCGGGTGTATAGGCAGATACAGGAGGAGACAAACGTAAACCCTCATAAAGTTTTATTATAAATTCATCTTTATTTAACTCTATATAACGATGAATCACTGATAGTACACGGTGACCATCCTGAAAACACACAAACCCTAAACCCTCATAAACCCTCATAAACCCTAAACCCTAAATACGAAACACTTATAAACCCTAAACCCTAAACCCTAAACCCTAAACCCTAAACACTTATAAACCCTAAACGCTAAACCCTGATAAACCCTAACACCTTTCGTTACTGACAAAATGCTGCTGGCTCTCCACAAACAAACCCTAAACCCTAAACCCTAAACCCTAGACCCTAGATGAGCAGTGGGTCCTCCCACTATATACATCCCCAAACCCTAAACCCTAAACCCTAAACCCTAAACCCTAAACCCTACCTGTGTTTGCGCTCTCTGTCTTAACGCCAGCCTCTGAGGAACGGGGGCGTGAGTGATGGAGCAGTAAACCAAATTCTTTTCTCTGCATGCACCCCAAACCCTAAACCCTAAACCCTAAACCCTAAACCCTAAACCCTAGAAAAGAGAAGTATTGAGCTAATCAATCCCCAAACCCTAATCCTTGTATAAAATTTAAGGGTTTAGTGTTTGAGGGTTTGTTCTTTCGATCTATATAAAATGCAACTGCTGCATAGCAAGACTCCATTACGGTTTAGGGTTTAGGGTTTAGGGTTTAGGGTTTACGTAAGAAGAAAACGATGATCAACCCTGAAACATTGCGAGGTTTGTGAGCTTTTGCAGCTATCTATCATCTCAGCAGAAAACGGGGGGTTTCGGCCGTCGCTCACTGCTTGCACCTAAACCCCAAACCCTAAACCCTAAACCCTAAACCCTAAACCCTAAACCCTAAACCCTAAACCCTAAACCCTAAACCCTAAATCCTGAATTCAAGGGTTAAGAGGAGGTGTGTAAAACACGCAATCGATCGCAGCAGATAGGCAAACTGGAAACACAGTAACAGCAGCGACCGGAGCAGCAGCAGCAACAGCAGCAACAGCAGCAGCAGCAGCAGCAGCAGCAGCAGCACCAATAGCAGCAGCAGCAGCAGCACTAGCAGCAGCAGCAACAGCAGCAATAGCAGTAGCAACAGCAACAGCAGCAATAGCAGCAGCAACAGCAGCACTAGCAATCGCAACAGCAACAGCAGCAGCAGCA